TATATATATACACACTCCCTTACTCACTCTGTTTTGCTTGATTTAATTTTAACTTATGAAAGCATTTATAATTTGGCTAAAAATTTATTTTACAGTTTTATCTCATATTTCCAAAGCATATTGTTTGACAGCACTAGGCCTTCTAGAGGGAAAAAAAAAAAAAAAAAAAAGGCCACAACATTGATGAATTTTCATTATAAGACAAGGAAAAATACTTTGTGTGTCAGAAACTTTCTAAATTGCTATCAAAAGCTTTTTCACTGTTTTGAGATGTTATACAAGGTGCAATTTATAGAATTGATTTTTTTCTGGCTTGAATACATTAATATTTTCTGTTTCTTTGTAAAACTGTTTTGGTGGGTGGTATCCCATAAAAAAAAAAAAAAAAAACATGTAACCTTATCCGCAATTCATTATCCACTACCCAAAATAAAATAAAGCTCCTGGAATCTATCATTATTTCAATTTGATTACGTCTTGTCTAGTGATTCATTTCCATCAATCAAGAGATCATTCATAATTATGTCTGGGTACGGATTTCTTATGTGTTTGCCTAATGGAACTTTTATAGTTTTTGATTCCAAAGTAATTTTCCAATGAATGAATTTCTATCCCCTTGTTGCAATTTTGTGCATACTGCTGCTATTTCCTTTGAATTACTGAATCTTTTTTGTTTCTGTTCTTTACAATATTCTCACTTTTATATACAGTTTGTTTTTCTTATTTATCTTGGCTGAGAAATTTACCTAATTTTTTTTTTTTTCCAAGTAAAAACCTAGCTTTCAGGTTTTACTTGATCAATGAAGTCATTTTCTTAATGTATAATTTAATTATGAATAGATGAGGTATTTTTTTTTCTAAGGTTTGGTGGTAAGTGAAGTTAGCCTGAAAAAAACATCTGGAAGTAGAGATCCGTTCTCAGAGTTTTTAAAACTTGTTTCATTTCAGGTCAGTTTTTTCCTCTCTCTCTCTCTCAATTTTAAAATAGGAAAAAGATGAGGAAGAATTCTAATGCTGTCAAAATTTGCATTTTGAAATATGAGACCAATGAAAATTTGAATAATGACAATAGGTTATAATGTGGTGCATAAGGGAATACAATTTGACCTGCGATTTTTGGTATTTGAGCAGATTGATGAATCTGTCCAAATTTCAATTTAGTGAATATTATTTGTGTCTCACTGGACATTTCACAGATCTTTCCAAAGCACTTCCCCAGGAAATAAGCAACAGTATTTTTTATTTTTTTTTATTAATTCCTACTTTGAAGAAATTACTCTGTACCTTAATTTCCAAAAACTTTTTGATTAGAATCTTGTCTATAATCAAAGAACTATTTTGTAGCTACCAGAACTATGATGATCATCCTAATTGAAGACTGTTCCTCTATAACATAAGATGATCTGTAATTTGTTCTACCAATTTGGAAGAAGCTTTAAAACTATTTCAAGACTAAAGTGCCTATCAATGGTCAGTAAAATCTATACTAAGTGATCTAGATAACTTGGTATTTATAAAAGATACTATCTCAGTACAATGACTATGGCCATTATAAGTTGAATGTAGAGTATAAAAAGTTTCTTAATTAAAAAAAAAAAAAAAAGACTAAATGTGATTTGGAGACTGTACTTCTTCCTCTGTGATTATTTAATTTTTCTTGTAGTCTGATCAGAAGACATTTAGTTTGACACAAGACCACAACAGAGGAGTGTCTATTGAAGATCAAACTACATTCTTGTCACCTTCAGTCCCATGACTAGATGTGATCATAGGGTTGCTGCACAACTGAGTACCTGACCAGCTTCCTCCACATATCTCAGTTGGATGCCAATGTCTGAATCACTGTGTAGGATCTTTCAGTTTATTCAGTGCCTCTTTTCTGCCTTGTTGATAACTTGTAAAGTAACCATGGAAAGATTGTTGCCTCTTATGACATATCAATATCATTCCAACTTCCTCCTCTTGACAGTGTGGTTATGAAGTCTTTTAAAAAAAAAAAAACCCTGTTTCTTGTCTGTTGATGTCTTCACTGCATTATTTGGGATGTGGCCAACAGAGGTCATGTCTATGATGATTCTGTAGTATACCATTTCTCAGGCTTAGATTCTCCTCTGTAATTCTTCACTGTTAATGTCCAAGATTTGTAAACATACAGAAAGATTGAAAAGATCATTGCAAGCAACAGTCTGATTGTTGATTTTAGGTCGATGTTTTTGTCTTCCCAGATAGTTTGCAACAGCTGCTCTTTAAATTGTTTCTATTCTGGAGCCAAGATATTTGAATTGAATCACTACTTTTACTTTCTGACTAAATTTCCTACAGTCTTCTAAATAAAACTTGCTTTACGGTAATCATCCACATTATAATTAGTAATAGAAAGGGTCATTTATTACATTTTTTTTTTTTTTTTATACATGTATCTTCAAGAGAATCCAAAAGTGTCATTTTTGAGATTGACTAATAAAATCACCACACCCTGAAAAAGCTTTATTTAGCACAATGTTTCATTTGCAAAACATTTGGCAAAGAATGAATTCTCTTATAATGGCTTGCAAGACCATCAGGCTTTGATTCAATGACATTTGCTGTGTATCATAATGAAAATAACAACATTTATCTTTACTGATCAATATTGATACTGTCTTTTACAGATTACGCTAAACCAGTGTTAAGTTTATTACAAAAGGAAGATTCTTAGCTTGCTTTTATGGTTACTGATTGCCATTAGATAAATCTTTAGACAACAATGGATCTTTTACATGGAATTAAAGTGGATTTAATTGGGAACTTTGATTTCTTCCTTAGTACTTGGCTGTTAAATATTCAGTCACCCATTCTCTGTGATTTGGAAAGAAACTAAACAGAAGAAACTTGTCAAAGACTGTCCTTTTTATTCGATTCTGCACCATTCCTATAACAATGTGTTACTTCTCTTGCATTGCTCTTCATTTTTTTGTAATGATTTTGCTTGTTATGTGATTCATGTAACTTGTTTTACTGTTTTTGTTGCCTTCATCTTTCTGTGTGATTCTCTTTTATTGTCAATTAAATTTTTCATGTATTGTGTAAATGTCTTGAAATGTCTTATTCACCATTTTTTCTTTGAAATGAGAAAAAACCTATTTTTCACCTGTTTTAAAAATCCAGACAGAAGTATGTGATGAACATATATATTATTTTAACTTTACAAGTTTGCAAATTGACTTCAAAGAATGAAAGTTTAAAAAGAAAGAAGAAACCAATGAAATGTTTATGCTAAGAAAAGTTTCAAAGTTCCCTTGTATAAACCTATGAAATGATTAGTTAATACAAATCCTGTATTTTATCAGGAAGATATGTTACATTTCCTTCTCTCATGAAAGCATGTTCAGCATTTAATTCTATTTTGGATTCCATCAGAATTGATTCTGTTTTCTAATTGTTGGCTTAACTTTTTTTTATTTTATTTTTTTTTTTTGCCGGATGAATCATATATAGACAATTGTGCAGAATCCAAATTGTGTCAATTTCTAATTATTTCAAGTTAGAATTGATATCTTAGTAAATCAAAGACAATCATTGTCAAAGGATAAAATTGCTGTAAACTCCTTAGTGTCCAAATAAGGAGAACAAGGAAAAAAAACATTAAGCCAAAATAATTACTGGTGTCTGTAAAATAATTTCCTCATTTCAAGAAATGATGAACTGTTAAAAAAATTTGTCCTCATTAAATGCTTAAAATATTCACTAGAAGAAAATAGATTAATAATTTGTGATGTAAATTACAACATCAAAATTAAACTGACTTTTGTTGAATATGATATTAGTAAAAGAGAGAACTACTGCTGTTACAGGCTTGAAAAATTTCAAATCTTAATTTTTTTTTTTTTAGACTGTAGTTAAGTTAACATGGTGTGATATTTTTTGTCACATGTTTTGTAATTTATATTATATCTTTTCTATTTGATTGGATTTTCTTGTATACATTGCAATTCCAGTTTTTTTTAATCTCATACTGTTATAAATAGGCATTTTTTAAAATATTTTAAGACTCTTTAATTCATTTTAAGTGCTTTTTGCTGTTTATAACATTTAAGTAGCCTGTTATTTTTTGTTGTATCTGTCATATACAATTATATATATATATATATATATATATATATATATATATATATATAAAATATAACTGATAACAAATGTCTGTTTTCCTATGAGCCTTTCCAAGCATCATATAATGGCTTTAGTTTCAAGAGAAAATAAACGCAAAAACTGTCCAACATTTGGATATTTCTTTATTGGTCATAGTCTATCTAAGCTTTCAGCTCACATGAGCCATCATCAGAGTGGTTATATGGATATAACAACAGAGGTGTGCACCATCAAAGATGACATCCTGTTTTGTTTACATAGAAGTTTGCTATACGATGATAACAGTTACTGAATACCAGATGACCACGTGAGAGAAAGATATGTTATCAACAGAACTATATGTTTAAATGCATTGTAATATGTTGTAACTGGTTTGAAATGTAATTCTGTTGAGTGTGGGTTGCTTTGTTTTAATGTAGATGGCCTCTAATATCTTAGTTCTTTTTACCATGTGTATGTTTGAGTATTGTTGTGTTATCAACTAATATTTGTCTAATATTATGCAAATATCTATATTTTTCTAAGAAAACTTAGATCAACAACAACCAATATAATAAAGAAATCTCTAAATGTTGGACAGTTTTTGTCTTTTTTCTCTTGAAACTAAAGCCATTATGCAATGATTAGAAAGGTTCATGGTAAAGCATAATAGACATTTGTTGTCTTTTATATTTAACAATATATGTTTGAACAATAATCTACTGCTCCTATATATACACACACACACACACTAGAATTTATTTGTTAGATGTTTGGTTCAATTTCTTTTAATGTGTTCCTTTTTTTGTATTCAAGAAAGCTGATAACATTGCATTTTGTGTGTGTGTGTGTTTTTTTTTTTTTTTTGTCTGTAATTTATTGATTATTTATAGGAATGTGTACAAAGATTACAAACAACTTGAGTTATCAGCTGAGAGTCAAGAAGAAATTGACAGTTGGAAGGCATCATTCCTCCGAGCTGGGGTGTATCCTGAAAAAACACAGGAGAAAGACGATGAGGTGAGATTGCTTTTACAAAGACAAGTCAGAAGTAATTTTATATAGATATATATGTATGTATGTGTGTGTGTGAGGATAAACAGAATTTAAAGAGAAATAATCTTACAGTTAATCAATATGTTTAATATCATTACTATTTTGGTGGGGAAAGAAATACAAGAAACACCAGTTAGAATTCTACATTGAGAGAAATGCTGAAGATAGATGGATGTTTAGTTTTAGATTTTTGGCATCCAATGTTTGTAGATACATAACCTAGACAACCTAATTCAGATTTCTATTGTTTTTTTTTTTTTTTTTAGGGAAAGAGATATGTTGCTCAATCCTAGATGTAAATATACTATGGAAAACTAAAAATTACTGCATCTTGAATACATTTTTGCTTTAATAAATTTTCTTTGTTAATCAGAAACTCATTCTTTAAGTCAAAAGTATGGGTTTATATATTATAATGGATGATTGATGCATTGAGTTTTTGTGAAAGAATTGCCGTATTTGATGGCATATAAGGCATGGGTGCTTAAAATGCAACCCAATTTCAGCAGTGCAAATCAAGAAAAAATTAGTAATTAGTAAAATTAGTAAACCTACATGTGGCATATAATACACAGAAATTTTAAAAGACATTTTTACTAAAAAGAAAAAAGTGCACCTTATATGCTGTCAAATATGGTACATAACATTGTTTAAAAATTGTCATTGTTTTACAAAAAACAAAATAAATAGAAAATCAAAGCTTTATTATTATTATTATTGACTTTTTAACATTGCATTTTTCTTTCTTTTTTTTCTTTTTTATCAATGATGAAACCCTTCTTGTCGTATGGAAATCTATTACCTTTTTATACCAAATACAAGTACAATTTTGAAAACTCATGCCAGTTGGTTTTTTTCAACTTGTAAAATAAATATGACATTTTGGATGTGCCAGAAATTTTTGATTCTTTGAACACTATAAACATGCCAAGGAGAAAAAAACTTTGAACCAAAAAAAAAAATTAGAAAATCCTCTCATATCAAATAAGCACTCTACCTGGCAGAAAATAATTAAAGGAAATAATTTAATCAGGCTGGCATTTGCTACAAAATTGTATTAATAAAAATGCTTCTTTTCAAATATTTAACGTGTGTTTCATATAAGTAATAATTTTGACTATTAATATTTGACTAGTTTTTCTTTCATCTTAATTTCTGTTCGGCTGCCAAATTGTTATCCAACTATCTAGTAAACAGCACAATGGATAAATAAGATATCCAAAGTTGGAATGAGAATTGTGATAAAAAGTAACAGAAAAAAATCAGAAGAAAGGATAATGGTGTTTTATGAAACAAATTTGAAAATATTTGTTATGCTTCTATATGAAATATCTATAATGAAAACTGTAGCTAAAATTTCCATCTGATGTATTCTGTTGTGAAAATAATTAAAACTGATATATATTTTTATGATTAAGATAAAGAAGCTATTAAGCTTTTAATTTTAAGATATACAATAAACTTTTTTAATTTTATTCGTTTCCTGACCAAGACTAAGGACGAAAATATCTCGATGGATCCCCAGCTTGAGCGACAAGTTGAGACTATTCGGAACCTGGTCGACTCCTACATAAAACTTATTTACAAGACACAACGTGATTTGGTGCCTAAAACCATTATGCACCTTATTGTCAATGATGTAAGTAAACTTTTTTTTTTCTTTTTCTCTATGGTTATTTAGTATGTAAGTAGATTTATAGACTTTATTCACAACAAAGAGTTGGCACTATTTTTTTCTTTCATCTCCGTATCTTTTTCTTTCATCTCCGTATCTTTTCTTTTTCTTTCTTTTCTTCTCTCCATATCTTTTTTCTTTCATCTTTTCTTTCATCTCCGTATCTTTTTTTCATCTCCGTTTTTTTCATTCTCTCCGTATCTTTTCTTTCATCTCCGTATCTTTTTCTTTCATCTCCGTATCTTTTTCTTTCATCTCCGTATCTTTTTCTTTCATCTCCGTATCTTTTTCTTTCATCTCCGTATCTTTTTCTTTCATCTCCGTATCTTTTTCTTTCATCTCCGTATCTTTTCTTTCATCTCCGTTTTTTCTTTTTCATCTCCGTATCTTTTCTTTCATCTCCGTATCTTTTTTCATCTCCGTATCTTTTCTTTCATCTCCGTATCTTTTTCTTTCATCTCCGTATCTTTTTCTTTCATCTCCGTATCTTTTTCTTTCATCTCCGTATCTTTTTCTTTCATCTCCGTATCTTTGTGTATAAAACATACAAAGCCAATTTTTAATCTTTGTTTTACTTCTGATCTATTTGTTTTATATAGAAATAGTTGGTATTTTTAAGATGATTTCTTTCTTCCTAAGCCTAAAATTGATCTGTTACTTTAAGTTAATTAATAACATTCTGTGACATTGTTATTCAAAATAAGACAGAACCACTTTAAAAAAAACTAAAGAACCTAGCACACATGCTTTGCAGTCAGTAGGTTTGTGAATATGATATGGAAGTCAGAGGTTTGGAAAGAACTGAGATTAGATTTAAGACTTTAAAAACAAAATCATGACATGATATATTCAAGAGATAATTGGTTCGTTGGAAGTTAAGAATCCAATCTCTGAGACATGTAGTGGGAAAATATAAACTGGTAGAGTGGTGAGGCAAATTGACATAATAAGGAAACGTGGACACATAGGAGTTCTAGAATTTCTCAGGAAGGATGTAAGTATTGGCATTAGGGATAATAAAAATACAATGTATGCCATTTAAAAGCAAGAGGCCTCAGGTGAGGTTTTCAACAAATATGAATATACACAAACATTATTTAGTTGCCAAGCATTTTATTTTGTTCCACCTTCCTTGATAACAAATTTTCTTTAAGCAAAAAACAACAAAAGAGGAAATGAAGAATAATTTTCCCACTGAATTTTTTTTTTTTTTTTTTTTTTTTGTGATGTGTATTTAAATTTGTAAATGCGTAATCTACTGTTTAAATGTATAACTTATTCTTCTATAAGTTATCAGCAGAGAAAATTGTAACTGGTGGGCAAAGTTCAAACTCCAGCCTGGTTCATTCACTTTTCATTGATGCTTCTTGGGAAAGGAATGGATCCATCTCTTTTTGTCAACTATGGATTAAATAGTAGAGTAAACTCTAGCCTTTGGTGGTTGCGAGCCTAAGATGGAAGACTCAAAATTCAAAGCAGTGGAGAAGGCAATGAGAAACTACTACACTATCTTTTCCAAGATATGCCAATTCACAGGAATCTCTGGAGACCTATCTTACAGCCTTAAAGGATATGGAATTAGGGGGGGGACTTGTGTTGGATTCCTAAACTTCAAAGATACATTCTAGTTTTGCCAGGAGTCTTACTCATGTTGATATAATTTTTGTAAATAATTTTGACGTTATTAAAAAAGGGTTTGTCTAATGTTTCTTCTCTCTCTCTCTCTCTGTAGATAAAAGAATTTATCAGTGGAGGTGAAATGTTGGCACAGCTTTATTCAGCTGCTGACCAGGTAAGAACCACTCTTCTTTGTTTGCAATTAGTACACCTGTTTGATGGATGAACACCCGCATCCAAGACAGTTGGAACCAAAATAACAACACCTGTATTTAATTTTCTCAAATTCACTCATAGCACATTCAACACTGATGTTTATTATTTTGGCTGAAATACATAACCCAAGAATATAAAAATGGAGATTCTTTTGAAACTAGCATTCCTAGAAAGAGGTGTTAATTGCAGCAGAGGTATAAAACAAAACAAAACAAAAAAAAACTAAATGATTAATTTGAGGTTTTTTTTTTTTTTTTTGTTGGTTTTATTTTTTACCCAACATTTGTTGTTTGTCATTTTCTTTTCTTTATTTATTTTTTCTTTTCAGAACACTTTGATGGAAGAATCTGCAGAAGAGGGTATAAGACGAGAGGAGATTCTTCGCATGTATCATGCAACCAAGGATGCATTAAACATCATTGGGGATGTGACCACCACCACAGTGACCACTCCTCTTCCTCCACCTGTTGATAGTGATTGGCTTCGTGCAGAAAGAGCAGAGAATGGACCTTCAAGGTATGCAGTACCACACTAAACCTACTTCTATTTGATGTCCTCACTTGTTTCATTAGGAGGGGCAAGTGAAGTGCTAATATAAATGTTAATTAGGAAATATACAATCAGTAGAAAAATAATTAATTTTTCTAATTTATTGAATCATGATTTTTTTTTTTTTGTATCAATAAGAAATTTTGCTCCAAGTAAATCTTTATCTGTTAATCCTCATGATCTGAAGATAAGCTGTAGATGTTTTTGTAACTCATTATGATTATTTAAAAGTCTGCATCATGTTGTGGTGGTGGTGGGTGGGGGGTCAATATTTTTTTTTACATCTCTGACTTGATGTCTGAAAAAGTGCTTAAAATACAAAGTATATGGAATAACAAGGTTATAGATTAGAACTCATCAAGTCAGATTTCACTTATAAGACTACCACTCAACACAACCCCATTGCTGTCCATTTTGAATTTCATAAGTTGGCTCCCTGGTTATAATATAAGCACTAATAGTGGCAGTGTAATATTTGTATAGATTTTATTTTTTTAAGTGTGTATCTTATATACTGACAAATATGTTACGTTTTTTAGAGAAGAATAGGAGAGAGGGAGGAAGAAAAACACTACACTGTTTTCAAGTGGAAGAATAGGATCCACAAATGGATCCATTGTTCTGGATGAAGTAATCCATTTTATATTTTGATCTACAAATAATTATAGATTACAGGGCAGAGTGTCTTTTCATGGGAGTGGAGTAAATAAAAAAAAAAAAAAAGAAATTATCTTTACTCATCTAGGGAATACACAATAGAATTTAATTTTGCTTCATGTTTGGGATTAGAATGAGTTTACAATGCCTGCCACTATTTTCAGCTTCTAAATTGCTTAGAACCAATTGGTGAGGTAGAAACACAACTAGTAAAGAGTTTATCATATAAGTTTTATTATATATTCTCTTCACTTGTTTCTCATATAAAAAATTTAGATAGTCTTTTTTATTTTAATAGAAAGTATGAAATTTTTATGTTTTCCTTTTACAAGACCCATAGATGTGCTTTTGACTTTCTATGAAAAGGAATATTCATTAATTCATTAATTTTGCATACAGCTTATGATAACAATTTTCAGTTGCGTTTATAATCAAGACATAATACTACAACATACTACTACTACTACTGTTGTTGGCGATTGTCTTTGCTAATCTATAACTTTAAATTAAATGAGAAATTGGATAATCAGGTTTCTGTAATTTATTTCTAACTTGGTGATCATCTTCAGTGTAAGTCAGTTCAAATCATATAAGACCTATATTTTCTCTGGTTAGTCGCTAATGATAGGGAAATTGTTTGCTGCTATTTTTATTTTAATTAATAGAAAATATAAATTATAAGGACCTTATTTATTGAATTTTATTTCATATTAGGTGACTATTAAAAAAACAGGACGGTGTTTCTAACGGTATCAGCTACACTATTGTTTGCTTGCCTTTTTGTTTTGTTTATTTTGGTTTTGTTCTCAGTACTTGCTTTTCTTTCAGAGAATCTTCTCCAAGAAATTCAATGATTCTGTAAGAATTGACACACTCCTCCCAATTGTCATTCATTCACTAGCTAAGCTTATTAACCCTGTAATGACCTGACAGAAAATGGTTTTCTCTTTTAAGGTCTCTTAATGGTTTGAAAAGAAATGCTAAATGTTTACTTGAACTTAAATGGTTTTATAAAGTTAACAAAAATAAATGCCAAGAAAGCCTCTAAGATTAAACGTGTTTAAAAAGAGGATAGTCATAATGTTTTTTTTTTTTTTTTTTTTTTTAAAATAAAACTAAATTTCAGTTTGACTTGAAGATAACATATTACATCTAAAAGTTTATTTTATTTATGAGATTTTGTATAGATGTATGGAATAAAATTTAAATGAAATAAAAAAAAAAAAAAAAAAAATCTTTAAAAAAAATCACTAAATGCACAAGACAAATATCCGTAATTTTTCATACTTCATCCTGAGAGTTAGAATGCCATAGCATAAAATTATATATATATATATATATATATATATATATATATATATATATATATATATACACACACGGGTTGTATCAAAAATACTTTTACAAGCTTCAGGGGTGGATTCCTCACACCAAAACAAGGACAAAATCCATATAAACATATGTCTGCAAATTCTACATTTTTGAGTTATTAAGTTTACGGTAGACACTGTTAAATTAGGTACCTCCACGAAATCGCTAAAAAAAGAGCATAGCTTGATGAAAAAGACGTCAAACTTGCCGAAAACTAAATTTTATTGTCTAAATGCTTATGTTATTATTAAGAGGAAAGACCAAAGTTTTTTAATTATTTTTAAAAAATTTCCTTCTTTTAGAACATTCTAAATTTTGATTAAAAAACCTTTTTTCTATTTGTATCAGCGGAACTAGTAAATAATATAGACAATTTTTAGCACGTTTTTTTTGGTATGACACATTAATTTGAAAAATCGTGCAAAAATAGAAATAATTATCGGATGTTAATGAAACTTTCAGGAACTATTCACAGATGATCGAAATTATTATAAATATGTTTTTTTTTTTTTAAAGTCATGGTAGAAATATTTTTTTAAAATATTTATTCCCCCCCCCATAACTAATTTTATGAAAACGCTTAGAAATTCGATCGCATCGGTTTTAGTGATTACAATAATTAAAAGCACAGGGCTTTGAGGAATGCAAATCATGTTTTTTTTGTTTTTAATTGGATACGCAGTACCAGAAAATCAGCTCTGAATTGTAACATACAAAACTCAATAAAACAAAGATATTATTTAATTTCAAATGCTTTTATTTGCTTTTAGTTGTTTTTATGAATATGGACAATATTTTCTGAAAGCAAAAAAATTTTTTCGATGAAAATGAATTTTTAATACAATTATTTGTTATTTCATTAATTATAATAGATTTTATATTTAAGTTGTTAAAATATTATAAAATTAGTTAAAAAAGCCAGATCGGCTTTCATAAGTGTCCTTATGAGATAGATCTTTTTTTAGCGCGTTGTAAATTGTATCATTTTGACTAATCAGAAGATACCCAGTAATTAAAAATGTAATTTTGTGCTTATAATCGAGCTGTAATTATAAAATACGGAAGACCAACCAGAATATAATTAAGTTGCGTTATTTGAGTTAAGCATTGTTCTCCGCTGTTAAGGCCTTTTACTTTTGCAAAACACGTGTGGAGAAGTTAATTTGATTTTTCAATTTCAACTGAGAAGGGTACCTACAAGTATCAGTATCATCTTATGAAATTTATATGATCTTATTTTTATATTAATCTCAGTTACGACATTTTTCCATAAATGAAATATCAAAATTAATAATAAAATGAATGCAAATACAAATAACAGTAGAATGTAATAAATGTACATAAAATTATAGTATTTTATGTACAATTCTGATAAAATTTCATAAGAAAGGTACCTATAAATTAATTAGATACCTTTCTTAAGAAATATGAAATTTAATGTCACTCTTAACAGTTTTATTTTAATTTCTTTACAATATATTTCCCATAAAGCATCATAAACGTAAAGGTGAAAGTACAAAAAAAAAAAAAAAAAAATTAGACCGCTTTCATTTTTCGTTAAAAATAATGAGGTAAATAATTTGTTCACGTAAATGTAAATTATTTCACTTTTCTCCTTCCGTAGAACAAATTAGCCTCATGGAATTAAATAAATATATCATTCATCACATGTCAAGAGACGCGAAAGTTTATGACCTGCTTTTTTTATTTTCAAATTACATCTTTTTGGCACAAAAGCTAAGTTAAGTTTGGTTCAAAATATTTTAAATAAACATTATAATTTCTGATTTTCTTAAAATAAGTTTTGAAAAATGATAATTGATATTTAAAAAATTTCAAAGTCAGATTTCCATTTTTTTTTTTTTTTGAATGGAAAAAAAAATGGTCAATTTTGCTGACTCAAAAAAAAACTAGATTTTTAACGAAAATTTCGGACGTGCTAGAACGATTAAAAATGGAAAAAAAATACCCCAAAAATACTTTGACCTTTCCTCTTAATAATAACAAACATTTAGACGATAAAATTTTGTTTTCGTCAAGTTTGGCGTCTTTTTCATCATACTATGCTCTTTTTTTTAGCGATCTCGTGGAGGTACCTATGTTAAATGTACAATCCAAGATATAATCCAGAAATGCTTATTACCATGTGGTGCAATGAATTCTGTTTCAGTAATGTGATGATAAACAGCAGCAAGGGTTGGATGAGTTTGGATGCGTTTGATCTGGGAACACAATCTGATATTACCATTTACACAGTTGTATGTAAAATCATATCTGCCTACTCACGATATGAATATCCTGCCATTGTTAAACAGAACATTTTTCAGTTAACTCACTACTGCACACATTAAATGTTGAAGACAGACTGGCAACAAATATATATGAATGACAAATGAAACCTAGTCTCCATAGCATCATCTATAGGTAAACTTCCCTTAAACATAACTCAAAAACAAAGGATTTGTGAACAGATGTTTGTGTGTACTTTTGTCCTTGTTTTGGTGTGAAGAACCTGTCCCAAAGTCCGTAAAAGTATATTTGATACATCCTGTGTGTGTGGCTAGTAAGAAGAGTTTTTTTTTGTTTTTTTTTTTTATAACAGCCATAAAAAAAACCTTGTTTCATATACTGGATTTTATGTAGCTTTCATGTAAGTTAATTAAAAAAAATCCTTAAGTTATTGGATGATATATAATTTTCACATGAGCTAATTCATGAAAAAAAATCCAGAAACTATGAATCCTTTTTCTGTGTATGGTTTACTAATTAAATATAAACAGTTTCATTTTTTAATTTATAACAGCCACAAAAATATCACACTTAGCTGAGAAATAGCTAATTCAAGATTGTTGTAATTGATTTTGTGAAATCAGTGTGATTGATTGGAAGAAGTTCAAGAATTTGACTTGTTTTCATTTGATTCAAAATCAAATTTTATAAATGAGTTATCATATACTGAAAAAGAATAAAATTAAAACAAAAAAAAAACACTTTCCTAATTTGAATAATGTTAAGTCTTCAGTCCAAATGGCATGAAATGTTGGTGAAGTTTAAGTATTAAGTACTTCTGTTATCTCTTATCTTTGCGGTAACATAGTTCAGTTTTTTTTTGTTTTTTGTTTTTTTACCTGAAGAATTAAGAGTGTTTTATATATGCTATATATAGAAAAAGAAGATGCAGTGAGGAACCTTTTTATATATATATATATATATATATATATATATATATATATTTTACATATTATAAATTTAATTTCATGTTCAATGGCCTCCTCCACCTTTTTTTTTCAATAAATCCACACCTCATTTATTTTAATATACATATTTTCTTTGTTGGAACCATGACAACCCCTATATATATATTACCCCCAAGGCCTCCTCCACCTTTTATTGAAACACCTCATTTATTGCAAAAAAAAAAAAAAAAAAAAAGTCCTGTCTTTTTGTATTAGGCACCTAAGTACTAATTAGAATGTATTTAAACATGTTTTTCATTTTATATTCATACTTATTGAATGCAAACTCTTGTAGAATATTTCTCTTTCCAGTGTCAGATGTGATATTTAGTATTTCCCATCATTTTAATAAGCACCCACAACCTTTCTAATACTAGAGAGAACCATTTCTGTCCGAGTCATTGGAGGTGCCATCTGCTGTATAGACAATGTGACTTAGACCCGATTTAGTTGTGTTATCATTAGTGACACAGCCATTCTCTTTCTCTCTCATGTAAACCAAGGATTCTTATTTATGGCACATTTTGAAAATTCAGCAACTGTCTCTCTGTTGAAATGCACTTAACACTACGTTCCCACAAGCCATTGATCAAATCTGCACTAAATCTTTCTACCAATCTATAATGAACTTTTCTATTTTCCTTTTATCTTGATAGTTTAGTAGACTATTTTTAGGAAATCTGCAAGCCCTGCTCAGGTGGGACATAATTTTCATTTTTTCCATTGAATCAACAGCATTATTATATTTAATATGAATAAATACGCATAATCATTATTAATGTTGATAATATTAATGTTTTAATATATTGAGTTGGCTAAGAAATTTGTGTCATTAAATGGCATTAAGAAGTTTTAGTTTTGACTAATTTTATGGGTGATGAAAAGTGTATAATTTACAACATGAAATAGAAGCCATGAATCCATCAAAATGAACCAATACAAATTATATGAAATGTTGGTCTTCATCTATTATATATATATATATGGCAGGATTGAAAAGGAAATTCAAACAATTGATTAAAACAAGTATTGCTCCCAGTTAGATCAATTAGAGCCTGTAATTGATGAAAATCCTAAGAGAAAGGATATAATGTTTCATTAGGATAATAAAAGATCTTTTTTCTTTGACAAAATTTGTTACAACTTGTCTAGGAAGTTTCTGCTCATCTGTCATATTTTCCAAATATGCTTTTATTTTTATTTAATAAACTGTATAAACATTTTGGTCAACACAATCCAGGAATATCGTACATTCACAATTCAAGGTAATTAAGTTATTTAAAAGAATAATTTGAAGATTTTGTTTATGAATTTTTCTATACACAAATCTTTCATCTAAATTATAATTGTCTTGGGCTTTTCATCACTTTACCAAACATTTCTCTACAATCTTAATGGCACTATATGAATCTTTTAATAGAACATTTAGGAATCATAATTTTTGATGGCTCTTTCTGTTCATTTAACCTGTTAGTGTTTCTTTTTGGTAATTTTAGTAGTAATAGTTTTTTTAATTTACTGATTTTATCCTATTAGTACATTAGTATTTGTTTAAACAAAGTTGGAAAAAATATAAGAAATTTGTTTGATGGACCCTCACACAAGTAAAATGGTTATTTGTCATTTTCACAGACATTTGCTTTCTGTAATGATATCTTGACTAAACAAGATTTAGACCAGTCTTAAGTTATAGAAGCTGGTTAATGGTAACATTAATGGTTATTAGTAAAAATAATAGGTTAATCTATTCAATAAGATAAAATACCTTGTGATTTATTGGTAATGTAGCTGCATCTCCCTTGCTTAGTAATGAGATATTCCATTGTTATGAAAACAGGAGGCATTACTTGGTACTTATAATCAAGTGTACCTTTTTTTTTTTTTTTACTATAACAATGGAATCTTGTAAAAGAGTGGGAACAGCTTGCTAGTTGCTTTTGTTGTAGCTTTTTTTTCTTGTTAGCTTTCTTTGAACATATTTATCTTTTAATAATTTAAAAAGTAAAATTCTTATTTGTGATTATAGATAATTGTTTAGAGTAAAAATTGTGTAAATAAAAATCCAAAATGATGTGTGCAGAAAATGTAAACAATGCAACTGCAAAATTATTTAAATATAGTCATCACCTTTTACTGATCCAAGTCGTGTTAATTTTCCTTGCAAATTCTTTTTGCTAATTAGTTAAAAAGTAGTTCTTTATTGCATGCAATGATAAAGTTAATTGTATTGATAAAAATCTGAGATGACATACGTAGAAAATACAACCAAAGCAATTGTAAAATTACGTTAGCTTTTTGGGATACTTTTGCATTTTTAATAATTTAAAAAATTCTCACCTGTAACAATAGCATTAATTGAATAGATAAAAATCCCAGATGGCTCCTACAAAAAAATAACTATATATATATTTAGTTCATAATTTTACTATATATATATATATATATATATATAGTAAAATTATGAACTAAATATTGTTTTCTTCTTTTGACCATCTAAGTTGTGTTACCATTCTTGAGATATTTTACTTTAAAGAATTTTGGAAACAATATACTTTTCTTACATGCAGTCATAGTTAATTGTAAAGATAAATATCTTAGATTTCTTATTCAGAAAACATACAATTGTAAAGTTACTTAAATTTACTGTTATTTTTTTTTCTTCACATCATTGGTAAACTAGTAAGGATCACCAGTGTTATATTTGTTGACTTATTTTTGCCACTGCATTCTGCACTCTGTAAACAAATCAATTCTAACAAAATCTTTTCTTGCTTTTTTCCTTTTTGTCATGCATTATTTTTACTTTATTTTTATTAATGAAATTTCTTTCTTTCTCTTTTCATTTGTAATGCATGCTTTTTCTTTATTATTTTGAATTATTTTGATTTTGTTATTGAATTATATATATTTGTGTGTGTGCATTTATTTATTATTTACTTTTTCCCAAAATTTGCATGTTTTATATTAATTTGGGGGACTTATTTCAAAAAAGTTTTTCCATTTTTTTTTTTTTTTTTAAACCTTTCTCTACAATTTCTTCCTCATTGGGTCCTCTAATTTTTCTTTCTTTCCTCCTATATTTTTTTCCGTAAATGTAATTAAATTTTACTAAATTTAATAGGTGAACATATTAAAAATGAATGTTTATGCTTAAAAGAAAAAAGGGTTTCTATTTTTTACCTTTTCTTCTCCTTGTTGCCAACTGAATATTGTTTACAAATGCTATAGTTTGCTGTAAACAAACTAAAGAGATATTCAGGAAAAGCAACAGCAGCTTCCAGATGATACAAAAAATAAAATGTATATAATATTGGCAGATAACTTGCTACATTTTATCTTTTGAAAATTTTCATGATAGTAAATATAAAGTTTTTAAACTAAGGATATTAAATAATCCTTTATGAAATTTATAAACAACAAAGCATGATTCTTGTAAATAAATGGTTTTGAAAAATAAGTTCAGTGGGGTTTCTCTATACGAACATAATCCATTCAGGATCACTGTTCATTAACCAAATTGCTCATTATATGGAATTAGGTGTAACCCATTCCAACTTTCACATAAAAGTAATATATATATATATATATATATATATATATTGAAGTAAGAAAATCTGGCATTGTAGCATCTCTTGCACTGGATGTATTAGCTCTAAGTTCAATAAACAACTGTTTGGTCTTTATATAAATTATTTATTCTACATATACTACCACTGGAAATTTCCTTTCTTTAATCAACACTAAAAATGAAATTTTCCATCTCCAATAAAACTGTTACGGGATTTACTAAGTTTTGTTATTTCTTTAACCACCTGAACACTTTTTAATTCATTCTTGTTTTTGAGTATAGTATTGATTGCTGATTTTTACCATTCCATCCTCTGCATTAAGTTTGCTAACTCTTGTCACAATTTAATGTTTAGAAATTGATTTTTTTCATTCACTTCTGTTGAACCAGGTTTATGCTTTTAGTAAAAAAGAATATTATGAAAAAGTATTATTTTCAATATAAAATGTGAAAATTTGCAAGTTAATTTTTATAGAACAATTACAATATGAAGAGCGACTTGGTGTTGGATGCTGTCAGCCATTTATATGCATGCCTAGACTACTTGCAGTTTGTTGTTCAAATTTCAACTTGTTAGGCAAATTTTCTGAAATTCTTTTCACTGTCAAAGTTGATGGTTTAATGAGCTGTTCGTATATAGTTACCCCACTGTAAATGTTTCAGTAGGTTAAAGGAAATATTTGCAGTATTAGCAGACAGGTAATTAAGTTTGGTAATTATTCTACTTATAATAATGTATCTTCTGGTGGTAGATTATTTTCCATTCTGGTATACTTATATCAGTTTTGGTGAAGCTTATCTAAAATGGGATGTGGGAGATGTTTTTGAAACAGACCTGAGTGTCATGAAGTGTTTGAGGTTACCCAAATGAGCCTTCGACTGCCTGCCCAACTACCTTTTCAATATAAACCAAATTTAAATTCCCTTCTGTTCCACTCTTGCGAAATTTCAGATCTGGGAAAAATGGATTCATGAAACCACCGAGGTAGGTTATTCTTATTCGTGTTGCCTAGATTTTTAACCAATCCAGTCATCTTTTGAAATCCTTTATCTCTTAAGTACAGGGCTTGCATTGGTATTACAGGAATTTAACTAAACAACCTTGCATATATGAGGGGAGTATTGGAAAGTTACTGGACTCTCCATGCTGTGATTGTACTGTTCAGTAGAAATGTGTACTCATTAGTATCCAGCCTATTGAGTCAGTATGCCAATTGGCTTTGGTCTATCTGATCATGTTCATTTATTACATGAGATTTTATAACATTGTGTTGGAATGGCTCTGTGATCTTTCCAATGACTGATAAATTCAAGCAATGAGCCTGTATTAAATTTTGCATAAAGTTCAACTAATCTGCTATTGAAACCTTCAAAATACTTTGTCTGGATCTTAGGGAAGAGCCTTTGGATTAAACACTGGTTTTTGATGGTCAGAGCAACCAATTCTTGGATACCAGAATATGTGGAAAATTTTGTGACTTCATCTATGAGGACTGTCACTGTCAGTTCTCTCTCTCTCTCTTTTACATGATTAGAATCAATGATGGAGTCTGCCAGGTGAGCCTAGTCCAGAAACTTTGTGATACTACCTTTTGTGTGTGTGTGTCTGTGTACCAGCATAAATGTACTCCCTAAAAATAAATAAATAAAAATAATTGGCTTTAATGAAAAAAAAAAGTCCAAATCGCTATTTGTCTTTGATTTTCATAATATAAAGTTTTTTATAAATATTTTTGGGAGTCAGTTAATTCCCCTCTTTTTTTCCTTCTATTGAGGTTAGAAAAAATGAAATTTTAATTTCTTGCAAAAATTGATAAAGAAAAGAAAAACAAAGATGTGTATGAGGACCAAGTACTGTGTCGTCTTTGTGAGTTGACTAACCACTTTACCTTTTATTCCCATCTACATATGCTTTATATAATAAAGGAAAATTTAAAAAGCTAATTTTGATGGGCCACAGTTTAAGAAAACTTTTCTTAGGATGTCTTTATATGTTTCTAAAATGTAAAAAGGTATCTTTTCTGTAATATTGGCTAAATTGACTAAATAATTCAAATGACAAAATGAAAACCTGTAAATTTAATTAAATATTAGCAACCAGTTATCCCCCACCTTAAAACCTGCTGTCATTTTCAAATGTTTGATATGAAATCCTGTTTGTCAATCTGTAGAAAAAATACTTGAGAACAGCAAAATGGCACAAGTTAATAACTACAGATTCTATATGTGTCAGTGTAATCAATAAGTACTAGTTGGACCTGTGAAAATGCATGAGATTTGAACCTTTAACCTATAGGCAGGCAATGATATATCCATTGGGCCACAGTTCTAATACTTGTATATATGATAAAATTAAGTTGGCATTTTTTCAAACAGTAATTAAGTATTAACCTCAATAAATAAAAACTAAATTTAAGATAAAAAAAAGACTTATCACAGTGATGAATTCAAATAACTACAAATATTAAAAGAACAAAGTTAATTTTGTATTTCTAAGTTAAACAGATATTCAAGCAGTAGAAGACTGGCTTAATAGTTATGTTATTTGCCTGTCTACCTCTAGTTCAGAGGTTCAAGCCATAATAGGATTCACTTTATTCAATAAGTGTAACATTTGCATATTATAAACTTTTAGAATAGCCCCACACTCTTTTATTACTGAAAACCACAAACAGAATATCAGAAATAAATAAAAGTATATTTTTAATTTAATGTCAGTTTTAGGATATGAACCTTGATTCAATATGTAATATTTATGTTCTCATCTACAGCAATTGGAAAAAATAAAATAAACTAAGCTTTTCATTTGCTTTTCTTTTATTGAAAGTTTTTACTTAATTTCTTTAGAATCTTTGAAATGTAATTCTGCAATATTCACATGACTATAATTCTTCCAATAAAACATGCATTATACAAGGTTAGGATGCTGAAATGTCCCCGACCCAGTAAACCAAGAAGAGGCTTCAAAACAAATTCTGATGTTTGGTCATTTGGGCAGATTAAGGGGAGGGGGCGAAGTTGAAAACTTCTGAACCTAATTAAAGTAATTGGTTTAAAATTCACTCACTGGAGAGAAAAAATATCAGCTATGCCTAATTTTCCAAATAATTGCTTTGTATCTTGAGGAAAATGCATGAAATGCTTCCTTTTGGAGCATACTTTCACTCATCCATTTTTTTTTTTTTTTTTTTTAAATAAATAATGGTGTATTTTCAGTGAGTTTTGTTTATAAGAAGAAACTTCTTGCAAATTTATATCTTCTTCAAAGATACAGTGACTGAAATGCTTAGAAAAGGTTAATATGAAGTGTTTAGTGTATGTAATTTGAAAAGAAGAAAATATTTGTATAAATTATTTACCTCTAAAGTTTACTTCCTCTTTTCTATTTTAGAATAGATGACAATGTACCTTTTTGATAATTCAGTAAATGATATCACCAATGTTGATAATTGGCGACTTCTGCTCTTTTCTCCTTATGGATAGTTTTGTTCCATTTTGATGAATGGGTTTTGGTAAGAAAGGGAATGGATGATAAAAAAAAATGAAAAGATTAATTCTGGACAAGCAAAAAATGACAATGAGAATATAATTGGTGGTTGACTAGGTGGTTACGGATGAAGAAAGAAGCCATAGCTTATAATCAGTTGTGGCCTATTATCATTGCTGTATATAATGACCTCAATAAGACAATAGCATGGATGCACATATATATATATATATATATATATATATATATCAGAGGCAATACACAAGATGCACACATGTGAGAGTAAATATGCTTTCAAAAATAATCTTTGATAATATTTTGTTTATTTCAACACAGCAGACATCAAAATTTAGGAATTGTTTATCACCCCTAGTTTTCCAAATTATCTAAAAGTGTGAGAAAAGGTTTGACAGTATATATTGAAGTTGTATATGCACAATGCACAATATGAAGTGCACAAGCTTCTAATGCCCTTTGTTACTTGGCCAAGTGAGTCAGTCTTTCTACCTCAATTTAATATTTGAGTTTTTGCACCATTGTGTTGAAATGGTTCTGCAATCTTTACAATGATTGACAATGAATATGTGCAACAGGCCATCATCACATTTTTGTATGAGCCTCAGCAGAATCTACTGTTATGATTTGTTAGGCTGAACACATTATTGTTTAATGTGCCGTTCAAAGCCAGTCAAAAATTTCATTGAGATTAGTGTTCAGGGAAAACAATCGGGAGCAAAAAAGCCAGAAAACCATATCTCCTGTACTGTGTATTACTTTTCTTTTTAACAAAATTGTTGATATTTATTTAAAAAAAAAAAAAAGTTTCATCATTTAATGAATTGAAAGACATCCAGAAATAGTTGTTAGCATTTTTTTTTACATTGATTCTGCTGATGTTGATAGAAATATTGCTGAAATGTGATAGATCTCTTCTCTTTGGTTGTTTCAAAATGAAATGATAGAATATGGGAGAGGAGAGAAAAATGTCATAATGCCAATGATATTTTCCTGCACAGTATTTAATATTAACAGCCTGAACCCAGAATCTGCCAGGCATTAGATGGGGGTTAATGATGTCATCAGAATTGCATTATTTGCTTTGCTCAATTGAAAATGGCAATAGTTGTTTAGCTCCACTGTACATGTTGGTCCTTTTTTTTTTTCTTCCTTTATTTATCATATCCCAATATTCACTCTCTTTTGTATATACATACACAAACACCAAAAGAAATTGATATAAATAGTTATAGCTACTAGATTCATACACATTGTATGTTTTATCTTTTTTTTGTGTATGTATATATATATATATATATATATATATATATATATATATACACACACACACACATACATACATATATATATATATATATATATATATATATATATATATATATATATATATATATATATATATATAATATAAAAAGTTAATGGTCAGCATTGAACTGGACCAGGAAACAGTAGTTTTAAAAAGTGCTGAATACATATGTAAAAATAAAAAATAACTTAAAAATTAGGAGATCAGTTGATTTCACTGCTTTGGTTTCAACCTTACAGCAACCTTAGGTGATTTTTATCAATTGACCTCCTAATGCTTTATTTACAAAAAAACAAACTAAACAATGAATACTATATTATTTTTAAAAATAATTAAACAGATGCATGGCATTGGGAAAGGGAGGATGTGAAAAAGAAAAGAAAAGCGGGTGGAGGAGAAAAGGCAAGGGTATTATAAATGTATCAGTAGTGGGGGGGTAATTGAAATGTACATACATTTTTAACCAGCCTCATATGAACTTAAGAGTAATTTTTTTGTATGTATGCAACGGCTCATGACTTCGGATCTCTGCTTCAAAAGTATTTTTTAATCTGGAAATGGCATTATTGCTAATTTTTATATATATATATATAGACACACACACTTTCTGAACATGTTTTAGTGTGCCTGTGTATACAGTGTGGACAAGGGCTTTTTAAACATGTTTGACATTTTCTTGAGACACATGAATCTACCTTGCCCTTCTGTTTTGTTACACACTTGTATGTCTTTACTGTGGATCTTGATGTGGTTGTTTATAGTAAATTCATTAAAAACTGTAGTTAGACTGATGTACATCTTTGTTTCAGGAAACCACTTGCTACAGTGGATTTCTTGTGAATGGGATAAAAAAGGAAGAACAAGATAACAAAAAAATTCAATTCAGCGTTTTGTGGTTACAGTGCCACCTTCTATAATATGTCGTCACATAGCTCTATATGATGATGACAGCGTTGTTTCTTCACCAGCTGTGCACTATGTTGGATTGTGCTGCATTTGATATCACTTTTTTTTTTTTTTTCTTTTTTAAAAATCTTTTTGTCCTCATTTAGGCTCCCAAGGATAAGGCAGACTCATAGGTACTTATTTAGATAAGTTCCAACCTACACCATAAATCAGGTTACATCTTGCTGTAGGAACGGATCTCCAACATAAGTTGAGCATCCCCTGTATA